TTTATTTAAACAAATGCTTCTTTCCAAGTTTTTGTGCCTCTCCTCCACACATGGAGACAAACAAAAACCAATTCGGATTTTTATCCAAATAACCCATTGCAGAAAACCGAATTGAATCATTGCAGATTATTTGTATAGACTATATAGACTACATAATTCATCAGCACCATATCTGCATATGGTTTTCGCTTTCGATAAAATTTGTATAAAAAACGCTGCAATCAATGAGAAAGTTATCACATTTTCAATTTCACTTGAATCATTCAGTTGAAACAGTCAAATTCGAAATCAAAATGAAATTCTCATTATTCGTTGCACTTCTGACCGTCGGAGTTTGTGTCGCTTCTCCAAGTATATTTCTAACCATATTTCTAATTTTCACTTTAAGAAAAAAGTATCTAATCTATATTTTTCACACAACAAAAGGTTTCCCAGCTATCCCAGATGCCCCAGTCCCAGCTATCCCAGATACCCCAGTCCCAGCTATCCCAGATGCCGCAGTCCCAGCTATCCCAGATGCCCCAGTCCCAGCTATCCCAGATACCCCAGTCCCAGCTATCCCAGATGCCGCAGTCCCAGCTATCCCAGATACCCCAGTCCCAGCTATCCCAGGTGCCTCCGGTGGCACTCAAGGTATAGCACAATAAGATATTTCATACACTATTAGTAGATAATTACAGCCTATGGCATAAAATTAAATAATTCAATATTCAATTTGTTTCCAAATTTATTTGAATTATTGAATTTCATATCTATAAAAAAACTTCAATCTAACAAAGTACAAAATATTTTTAAGGACCTTTTTGTAAACATTCTAAAATGGTCGATTGCTATGCGTAAGTATATCATTTGTTTTGATTTTATTTTTTGTTGAAATTTCGACACAATTTATTATTTTGTGATTTCAGGTCACCAGGTCAGGCAGCATAAAAAATATTGTGCCCACTTCTTAAAAATGTGCCAATGGCCCGAGACCAGACGTTACTACGGCTACTATGCTCAGAATATTGTAACGTACGGTGTGTGAGAGCGTAAATAAGTATATCGCGCTCTGTACACATATGAATGAGTGAGAATGAAAACTCAACTTCGCATTTCACCTCTTGCTCTCTCCTGAAGTTGAGT